TCAAATATGCGCTTACAGCGAACAAATAAACAAAGTTCCTTCAACTGACATCACAATAAATACTGATAATCTTATTTGGTGTCGACAGGAAATAGATTTTTTCAGTGGTCACCGACCAACCGGGCAAATTTCAAATGTTCATCGTGGTCAGTCGTTTGCTAAAAAAATCGGCTTTGGGTGAACCCAAATCACCTGCGCCTATTTCAGACTCGACTGGTGGTCTCTAAAATCTGATCGATGGCTAGTGACACACCATTAGAGTTGTCAACGAATTAGGCAATTCTCTTTCATCCACTAATAACAACTCAAATTTATTGCTTACTGTTAGAGATAGACCCCTTCCACAAGCTCTTCAAATTATCATAATTCCCCACAAACACTCTTCAAAATTAGTCAATTCAACATTTCTAATCTCACCAGTCACTCGCCATCAAATGATACTAATTGTTAATAGAGCGAAGAAATTCAAACTCAACGAATAATCAGTTCAATTGGCCACACAAAAATTATCGTAAAAAATCTACTCTCAATGCGTTGCAACTACTTAATTCAAGTTCTGATATTAGTACCGCACACAAATAGAAACCTGAACGCATGATACGACAAAGCGATGATATAACATCATCCATGATCAATTCCACACAAATGATGCAAGCATGTGAATGCATCATAGAATAACTGTAAATAAAATAATCCCCATATGCTAAAACATATTAAACCTCGATGATATTCGCTCGGAAACACCAACGTCCCTCTTCTAACAATACTATGATGTTACCATTAAACAGTTACCGATATTATTACTATTTATGTTGTTAATTATTACTCGTATAATCAACTGCTCATTAATATTCAGTATGAAATCACATTACCATCCATGAAACTGTCTCACCATCCACTTTGGATTACCACTCCCTTTGTTCAATGATAATAGTCTGTGACTGAACTGCCTGTCGCATGAGTAATATTTAAATTTCAACTACTGCAATTATTAATAGCGCTGCGAGTGGATTACAATCTGTTAAAATGTAGAAGCGATTTTGGTTCGCTTATAGGATGCAAACTTACTGCGTATGGCTATCGTACGAGACCAAAATTGAATACAAGGATTTATTCTTTTAACGGCAAATTCCATTCATACAACACCACAAATCCTTCGTTACAATAGCTAACAACATCAACAAAATATATAATAAACATAAAGGAGCGATAGTCTAATGAATGGCGAATGAAGCACAGATGAACAATGAATATTCGCAATAATAACAACAATGCGGAGAGTAATTATCAATCTCCATAACATAAAATGAATAAAAATTCGAACAGTCACAGTAACAATACGATTACAAAAAATATATCTCTTGAATACCTATGATAACAACGAAAATTATGTAATAACATATATTACGTAACAAATAACTTCAATACAGGACCCAGCAAACGATACAGTAGAGATGGACTCAACTAAGAAGATAATCAACTCAACCTAAGTATTTTGCCATTCAACTGCTAATTGTTCCATTCATAATCATTCCTATTATCACACAATTATTCCATCAGGCCTTTAACGAGATATACAGACTTGCGTTAAAAAAGAATGAAATTCAATAATATGCAACACTTCAAGAAGAGCAACCTCGTTAAGCCGCTTCCCCTTCTTGAACCAAAGAAAAAAAAACGATTCAATGATTTGACTAGCTTACTTAAGAACCCTTAAAANAGGTTATAGATTCGTTTTGCATTCGCCGTTGTTGTTGTGGCCACTTCATTAGGTGATTCACCCATATATGCAGCGATTAACTCACATTGCGCGGCCAACGCACATGGTTCATTTCGATTGAACGACGCAAATTTATGCATTTGCTTGGCGCTATCGCTGATCGCCTCTTTTATAGACGCCTCAATCTTCTTATCAGTTATTTTTGAGTACATAAAAGGTGCATCCGTCTCCAGTAGCAACCGGTCGAGCGGAATTTTGCGATTCCGTAAAGCGTATTTAACCCCATCTTCTGAGCGATCCTTCCACAGGAAACCTGCAACAATGAAATCAATTAATTAGAAAATGTCATTACGACTAGATTAAATCATAATCATTATTCACATGGATACGTAAACCATCTAGAACAATTGCTACTTAACATCGAAAATTGCGAAATTCATATCATTTCAAGAATTGATATATGTTGCGAAAACAAAAAGTCAAAAAATGCGAAATTCATGTGAAGTATATGCATGTTATTAATCAATCTCTCAACCGTTCACGAGCCACAAACTCACTCGAGGAATTATGCAAAACACGAAACGAAAAACAAAAGCAAAATATTGTCAAAAAAACAATCAAACAAAACAATTTCTTAACAAATTAATCAACCTGTTAAACCTATAAAGAAACCCAACTGCACATATTTCTCAGCTTCTGCTGCAGTACCCGTGAAACAGTGTATGACAGCCGAGGGCAATTGTTCCTTATACCTGAAAGAACTTTCAGCAGCATAAACTCCTCGACCAAAGCTATTCGAAATGATTCCTCACAAAATCGTCATGACTCAAGCAAATTGTTATTTAGCACACATTTAATTTTTCAAAACGTACCCAAAGAAAGCAAACAAAAACAATTTTAAAAAAATCGATATTGTATCGCAAAATTTTCTCAAAAAGAAAAACAGTCTATATATGGAATCATAAATCAGAGATAAATTCTCGCGTCGTACCTAGAAAGAATTGAAACCATAGCATTATGCGCTTCTCGTTCGTGAATAAACAATGGCTTCTTAATTTCACACGCTAATTTCACCTGAAATGAAAAAAAAAATACTTCTGTCTAATGACCATTTTCAACAACTACTCGAGCGATACTCAATGAATCGCCTGAAAACCACTGAGAGCGAATTCAAAAACATTAAATGTCATAGATGACACAAAATTTGAAAGATTAAAAAATATCAACCAGATATATCATGAAAAATAAATGATGCCAGCCAGATATATCATAAGAATAAATACCACAAAAATCCAAGGCTAGTATATCAATAACTCATTACGATCACAACATCATCTTACACAAAAAAATATCCCGCAAAATTGATACGTTCAGACTGGAAAACGTCGCTGCATGATCTCAGATCACCTCTCCGACACAATAAAATAGACACATAAAAAGAATCATTTTGAAGAAACGAAAAGCTAAACGTAAAACATCAAAATAAATTCAGATAATCAGATAAGATAAATGCCATCCCGTTTCCCTGCTGTACAATTCAATCGAGATTGTGACGAACAACGATGACGAATGGCGTTTGTCACCACTCATTCAGGCAGTCAATTGAACAATCGAATATTATTCTTTAAAAGCACTCGCCCGACGCAAAAACACGAATTCCCGGTGAATGCGCGTGTCTTTTTGTGTGTGCAAGTATCGCCTCCCCCATCAACACTTTAATAAAATACCTCGAAATCAACACCTCCGAACTGCCCTAATTATCTCTTCTTTGATCCACGTTGATCAAAACAAACTCAACTGAATATTCTCTCTCATTGTGCTCAATGTGTGTGCTCAATTCATCACTATCATAAACACTCTCCAATTCGCTATCACAACAACAACAACAACATTCATTCTCCAATCAATATCACGATATTCATCAATTTGTTATACCAATTTCACTGAGTGCTCGTATAGATTCATTGTCGGTCAAAAAGTTTTGATTCCATTAATTTCATTCACTATGTTTGCGTCTCTCGCTATCCAACTTCAAAGCAATCATAAAAAATTTTCTTGACAAGACATTTTTATCCAAATTTTTTATTTTCTTCCTATGATTTCGATCAATTTCGATCTTCTTTTTGGTTATCTTCGCCGTGAATTCCATTCCGTAAAAAAATAAACACTCGAAAACAAACAAAAGAATATCGAATCAATTCATTGCAACCAAACACCCCTGTTGAAAATATTCCTCGAATTAAATCTCCTCACCCCCTTCCACCCCTCTAAAACATAAACTTTTCTCATCCAAACACTCTTCTCATGCGTAAATCCATTACTTTATGCCGAAAATACGCTTTAAACTTCTCTCCAAACTAATACTAAGAATCTTTGATATAAATTCAGTTATTCCGCGGCCTAACATAGGAGTAAAAAATTTATTTCATAATGAAACATCCTTCAGCAACTTAGTGTAATGCAGAAATCAATTTGCTTTGTTTACAAAAAAATTCTCGAAAATTTTGCAAAAATTATTCGGCTGACATCATAAAAAGTTCCAAAAAAATCAATCAAAATCTCACCTGTTCTTCAAAAACTGCAAGTTGTTGGTCCTGTGGAGAAAAGTTGCGATTGAAATCCAAACCACACTCTCCAACGGCCAC